AGCCAAGTGGAGCACTTTACTTTTCTCAGTGTTGAACTTCATCTGGTTCTGACTCACTCAACTTGCCAACCTGTTTAGATCCGCCTGCATCTGTAACCTATCTTCAAGTGTGACCACACTTCCCCATAATTTGGTGTCATCCATGAATTTAGCCAGTGAGCTATTCACCCTCACATCCAAATCATTGATAAAGATGCTGAAAAGTACTGGACCAAGCACCGACCCCTGCGGGACACCACTGGCCACCTCTTGCCAGGACAATGTTCATTAGGACTCTCTGGGCCCTACCCTGCATCCAGCTTTGTATACTATACCAAGTTCTATACTTTGTTCTACAATGCAAAAATTAGTGCATCATCCTGCTATTTGAAAATACCTAAAGTGATCCCAGCAAAGCTTAAAGTTCTGCTCTCCCATCCACATCTCCCTGTGGGACAAGGACGAATCCCACTTTTGCAAATACTTACATATGCAAACAAAGTTATGCACATGCAGAAGCATTAGCAAGATTGGAACAGTGTGTGCGCACCCTCTCTCACCTCTCCAAGCTCTGTTAATATAGTTGTTCTACATTTCTGCTAATTTTATTCCAACATTTAAGATTACAAAAACCTGAAAGATTATTCAAATAACTTCTAACATAGCCTTTCATGAATTGACTATTCTGTTAAGAATTATTATCCCAAATTATTTTTCTAAAGTGATGAAAATAGTTTTTCCAAATTATAGAAAAAAATAATTGTTTTGCAAGAAATTATTCCTTAGCAAAATTTGTGCAACATTTCAGCACTACAAGAGGATTGGTTTTATAACTGAATTGTTTTTTGCCTTCTAGGTATATGCCATTTGGCATTCTCTTTTTGATTGCTGGGAAGATCATAGAAGTTGAGGACTGGGAAATCTTTCGCAAACTGGGTCTTTATATGGCTACAGTACTAAGCGGGTATGTCATTCCTTGAAGGTAAAATGTAACTTTTAGGCAATACATCAACTACATTTAGGATCAGATGTAATGCAATTACATTTTAATTATCTACTACAAACCAGCCTTTTCTATGCCTAGATATAAAATGCTAGAAAATGATCTTTGAGAGATCCCATCTATAATTTTCATTTTAGGGTAGTTTGTATTAGAAAAGTACTTTTTGCTGCAAAAAGTCATTCCCCTTGCAGCTTAAACAAAAAAAATGGATTTATGTTACTCAGTACTTCACCCCTGTTTTAGCTGGATGCTCAGCAGATAATACCATATTTTTCACATACAACATGCCCCAGAATATAATACACACCTTGCTTTTGAAAGGCAAAAATCAAGAAAAAAAAAAGAGATCTTTCCTTGTAGTAAGTAACTGAGTTGCAGCAACTGGAAACCAAGCCTGCTCATTGTTTGCTTCCTCTGAAGTGCTGTAGATTTTGTGTTTCATCTGGTGAGAGGCCAGACCTGCTCTTACTATATTTCTTTCATATAATGAACACTCCAATTTCCAGCAGCTTGTTTTTGGGGAAAAGAGCTGTTGTATGTGACAAAAGACAGTATTTACCTCCACTAAATACAGCAAAGATTGGAGTCCTGGGAGAGAAGGGTTGTGCTATGGAGAGCCACCCCCACCAAGCTCCTGTGGTGATTGGAGTTTACCAGCCCATGGAAAAGGTTGTAGCACTCTCACCAATTCTGGAAGATCTTTGACAACCTGTGAGAGGTCACGGGGATCTGCACCTCTATACTAGATGAATTCTCTAGTAGTTTATCCACAGGACGAGTAGTAAGTGATACACAAGCAGCAGCTTAGCCCCACATCCACACCAAGCAGGTGATTTGCATTCTTTGCCAATGGATTTGGGGCTATGATTTGGGTCACTGGCTCTTCAAGACAAGAGAAGCTGACAAAGTCACAAAGGCTTTAATCTGGGGCAGTTCTTAAAAAGAATAGAGAAGTCTGTTCTAGGCCCTGTGACTCTGCAAAAGGATCCGTGTGGGTAGACTCTTGGGCCTACCCTAACCCTTTTGCAGGTCCAGGGCTCTAGCAAGTACAGTTTAATTGCTGTAAACAATTATACCTTGTAATAAATAATATACAGCTGTGAAAAATATCCCACAAAGAAACCTTTTAGAAAGATACATACATATGTACAGCACCATTAAATTAAGTGCATTTAATTTTCTGCTTTCAGTGCAGTGAAGCATAACACTGAGACTGTCTGGGTTCACTGCCTTAAGCCTCTGCTCTTAAAATTCCTTGAGCATGCTGAGGATTTATACATGGTTTGTTTAAAAGCCAGATCCAAAGCACTTGAGAGCGTCTTCCCCCATTTTTTTTTACATGTAAGCTGCTTTTCAAGAACAGCATACATAAGTTTCCTGACAAATGAACGGGGGAAGGGGTTACTGTTGGTTTTTAACACAGACCTTCCCAAACTGGGCAGGGAAATGTTATCTTTATATTTTTTCTGAATATTTAAAATGTATAATGGTCATTATTTCAAAGTATTTTTCAAGATTGTGTATATTAATATGTTTGGACTAGAAGGCAATAATACAAAAACATTCACATTAATGATCGTTGTTTAAAATGTAATGACTGTGACAGTTAAAGCTTTATTACAGATCCACTTTTGTACTACTCTAATATGTAATCTTTCAAAATCTGCATAATTTCCATTTCAGTTGTTTGAACACATCTCTCTTACAGCTTCACAGTTGGCGACCACCAATACTTAAGTCAATTAAAATCTAATCCTCCTAATCTTAATTATAAAACAAACCATGTGCAGAATGTAGGTAATCACATAAAGAAAGACACAGTGTTTAAGTGCCATATTTTTATGTTGGTAACAGCAGTCAGCTCAGGAAGAGTTCATGAGATGAACATTACCGCTGCCCTTTGATTTCAGTTTCATCTCTGGCAGTAAATATTATAATTATTTACATAGTAATAGTTATTTATTTGTAATGTGTCAGGACCCCATCTGTCTGGCTGCTGTACACATAAAGTACAGTCCTCACCCTGGAGTCTTTACACTGTGGAGTGAAATCTCTTTGCAACCTCCATCCTCCTATTTAGAGAATAGCAACATACCCAAAGAGCATAAAAGGTCCCAAGGTACTACTTTGAAGACCAAATGATAGAAAGAAAAGCAAGAAAGAAGGGAGGAATGTGAGAATTTAATAATAAACCCATCTGGATCAGGGGAAAATGCTGTAATGAAGATGAGTGATAGTGTGTTATATGAACACAAGGAAAAGAAAAGAGAAAGGAAGCTAAATTAAGAGCTCCCAGCTCTTCAGCCTCTCACTGAATAGGTGTTTACTCCCCAGGACTCCAACATGCTCTGTGCATTTCTGCCGACAGCTGCTAGGGAACAGCAGCACCTTCTTGTCCCTGTAGCAGCTCACAGGAAGTTGTACAGAGAGCCATGCTCTAGCTACCATGGAGAAAGGTAAAGGGCAGCACATCCTCTGCATGGCTGAAGAGCTGGGAGAGAATATTATGATAAAGTACATATAAGTGATGGTGTCTTCTTGCTTCTTCTTGCTTCTCGTGCCCATTGGCAGCCATGTATCCTTCCCTTGCCCTGTGTTGGTATCACACACTCTTGCCATCTTCATTACAGCATTTTCCCCTGACCCAGCCGGATTTATTATTAAACTCTCCCGTTCCTACCTTCTTTTCTGACTTTGTCACTTGCTGGCTCTTTTTCAGGAACTTTTCATTCCTCTGAATTTTCTATGACTGATGTTTTCTACCCTATTGATCTCTTTGGGCTTAATCCAGTGTTTGCAGAGTACCCTCCCCACTTCCTGCATTTTCCAGTAGTGTTCAGACCCAAGCAATGAGAATGCCTCATTCTTTTGCCTGTCAACTACTGAAAGGAATTGTAGAGCCTATACTATTCCCATCACCAGCTAATGCATTATACATATAGATAAATGTATTTCCACAACGGTAAAGGGAGACAAAACACTCCAACTAATAGTTACTTGAGACTCACTAGTCTTGTAAGTCATGTACACATTTCTGAAATTTTACCTTCAGCTGCTTTTTGTTAAAAGACCCGACACCAGACCATCACGCTCTCTCCATTTTTCCTTTATTTGCTTGGGAGAATTTTCCAGGGTCTAATATCTCTCTGCATGTGATTGCAAAGACCCTGATTTCAAACCAGATAACTGCCTGGTTCATCAGCTTTTGTAAATAGGCAAAGCTATGTTAGTTTTATTTTTCAAATTTATACTGCATCAGGGTCTGCTTTTATTTGAACTGTTATCAATTTTGTCCTGATTATAATTCAAGTCCCTGCCCATATTACAGACTAAGATTTCCTGCCACCCATGTTTTTAGCCCTCAGAATTTCCTGACACTTCCATTCTGCTAACTAAAGCAAGCTATCACATAACAGAGTAAAAACTTAGATGTCACGGGTTTAAAAAAGATTTCCGTCTCAGGGGACAGAAGACTAGGCTATTTTGCATCCTGCTATGTTAAATGCCTGATTTTTGGCAGAACGCATGGTTCCAGACTTCACCGATATCTTTATCTACTGCTCTGGGATTATAAAACACTATTACAAACACACTCGTGTTCCCAGGAACATCCTGTGAGGGCAGAACAAAAGTTCCAAGGTTGCACATGCCACATTTTGGAGCTGCATATCACCCAAACCCCTGCCAGGCTTCAGTGATTCTTATTTGTGAGGAGCTGCTGCTTCTGCAATATCCTGTGACTTTTGAATCCAGGGCATGTTTCACAGTCCTCCCATGAACATTTCACTTCAAATATATTTACAATAAGCAATGTGTCTCTGGCCTGAGTGCCCGCAAAGCAGCTGCAGCACACATATTTACGATCCCTGTGCTCACATGAATGCACGTATGCTAGCAAGGACAGTAATTAATGCTTAAGGCCAAATTCTTCCTTTAGGGACATGCCCACACTGCTAATTAATTTCAGCAGGAGCTGTTCACTTACTGGGAGGAGAATTTGGCTTTTAGAATCTTACCAATGCAAACAACGTACGCTAAGCGACAGCACTGAACGACAACCCAACATCTAACAATGTCCAATATTGTACAACAACATTTTTCTCATTCACATCAGTTTAAACAAGAATAACTTAGCTGACTTTAATGTGATTAGTTTGGTTAATAATGTAACAGAGAAGAATTTGGGTCATTACATTTGAATTAATGTAAATGATTTCCCACAACAGAGCAATGCAGTTCAGAGGTGGATGCAATCAAACCTATTATGAAAGCCTCTAAATTCCATCGGTTCCAATAATGGGCCACATCTCTTTGTATCCCCAATCAGATGAGAGTACCAAAGGTGATAAAATAAAGGTTCATACTTTTTTAATGTTTATTTACTTTTTGGGGTGTGGCTTAGAATATTTTGGATCTTAAAATGTATTCCTAATTCTGCTACTCCCTAAAAATATTATTCATGTATTTTTTCTTGACTTATTCAGTTTGACTTTGCTTCTAATATTAATTAGCTCATCTCATTTTATGTTCTTATTTGAAAACAGATAGTGACAAAAAAGCCTTTGAGAAGAAGGCTTCCCTAACATATACTGATCATATGTTCCCTTGGAATACAATTGTCACTGAAGTAAATGCTTGTTGTACACATGTATTTGAGGACAGAACTGGACATTAGTTAACAACAACTCATTGGATCAGAAGACAAAATAAATCTAATGACTTAAGAGTCTGTTTCCTTTTTCAGACTTGCAATCCATTCTGTTGTAATTCTGCCACTGATCTACTTAATAACAGTAAGGAAAAACCCTTTTCGATTTGCCATTGGGATGGCTCAGGCACTTCTGACAGCCCTCATGATCTCTTCCAGGTAATCAGAATAAATATTGTTTTCCTCTGGCATTAATATCCGTTGCAATGATTTTACTGCTGTTTATATTCCACATCCTGAAATATTAAATCCATTGGGTGCAAGTCCAAGGGAAGTATTACATTTATAAGTATCATCTGTATAATGCTGACTGTTGAGGATTTACAACAGTGCTGCTGATACAAGTGTTTCTCCTAGTAGTGTAACATGGGGCGGACAAGCAGGACACATCCTCTGGGCACTGCTTAAGGATTTCATAAACATTAGGGCTGGAAGGGACCTCACAAGATCATTGGGTACAGCCCCCTGCCCAAGGGACAGGAAAGGAGTGCCAGGGAGAGGTGTGCCAAGGAGAGGGGTGCCAGGACAGGGGGAGTGGAGGGGTGAGGGAACCACTTCATCCAGGGTATACTTCTTGCTCTGCTACATTCCTACTGTCTTCCCTGCCTCTATGACATGCTTTGTCAGTGCAGACGATGGGTGCCATAGAGCACAAGACATTCTTGAAATCATAAAATCAGTTTCACTGAGCAGCAATAGAGTTTGCTGATCGAAGGGAGAGCTACACCTATTTTTTCTGCCAAATTCAGCCTTTTTCTTTACCCTCTGGACATGGGTTTCATCAGCAAAAAAAAAACCCATTTAAAACGGGGGTGAAAGTTTCCCCCAGCAGCAGCAAATTCCATGGCCTGAGCTTCCTGCCTCCAAATATGATGAGTTTTGTCAGTTAGCTCATTGCTTACAGACCCTCTGAAGCTAAGTGATTTCACTGTTTCTATGACTATACCAACCGTGAAGGGTTTATTGTAGGTTTTTAGGATAATTAAAACTTTCAGTCGTTTTTTCCAAAAATCAAAAGAGATAGGAAAGACCATTTCACTGTAAGGGCCAAACTCTGTTTCTATAACCTGTGCACAACACTCCTGATCATTTTAGAACAGTTTCCAACCCTACACTTAGACACTCAAAATAAAAGTAGACTAGACTGATAAAAAGAACAGGTATTCTACTTGTATGCATATTTGTTTATCTACCACCCAGTTCAGCAACTTTGCCTGTCACCTTCCGCTGTGCAGAAGACAAGAACCATGTCGACAAAAGGATTACCAGATTTGTTTTACCAGTTGGAGCAACAATCAACATGGATGGAACAGCACTTTATGAAGCAGTGGCCGCAGTGTTTATTGCACAGCTCAATGACTTGGAATTGGACGTTGGCCAAATAGTTACTATTAGGTGATCATCAGAGCTCAAGTTTTGTCTCTTTTTTGTTAATGAGTTGTGGATTTGCTGCAGGCAGTCTTGGGGAATCCTGCTAATTTCACAGTTGTCAGCCGTGTGTGGCAAGGGGCAAACTCTCCTCTCTTGTGCAAAGCTTTAACAAACAGCTTTAATGGGACCTATATAGGGACTTAAGGTAGGGGATGAGGGGCCAAGGCATGGAACGGCATGTGGCCGTGTTGTATCTGGGATTGTGACTACTAAGTTCAGCAGCAGTAGAAGCTTGCAGCACAGCCCAAATTCCTCATTTTGTCCAGCATATACTTTTCAGTCCCATTGGTCATGTTCTCATTCCTCCTAAGTCTTCCCTCTGTGCTAGTGTAGAGTAGTGATCAGCAATATTTTCCAGCAGTGGGCCAAAATGGCCCAACTCACATCTTAAGTGGGCTGGTGCCAGGACCTAACTGTTGCTGCCACCACTTATACCCCACACCCAGCTGCAGCACAGCTCTCCACTGCCTGCTTATCCAGCTGTAGCATAATGCAGTGCCATACCAGCAAAGCCTCTGCCACCAAATGCTGCCAAAGTCTCAGCTCCACAGTTTGGATCCAATAGCTCTGCAGTCCAGATCTAGCCCACAAACCATAGGTTGCCAACCCCTGATTTAAATGACTCTAAAGCATAGTAAAGGGATATGTACCTGCTCCCTCATACAACAGATGCATATCAGTTGCTTGGACTGCTAGCCTTGTTTGTCTGCCCAGGAAGGAGACATGTTCAGCTCCTCAATAGCATAAGCTGCTCTAATAGCCTGCCCCAGAGTCCTGTGCAAGCTTGCTTACTAGGCAAGCTGGGATTCTGCCTCAGGAGGACAACAGATTTCCTAACTGCCTTTCCACTTACGTTTTTTGGATTCAGTGTCACGGCGACAGCAGCCAGCATCGGAGCAGCAGGTGTCCCCCAAGCTGGACTCGTCACCATGGTGATTGTACTGAGTGCAGTCGGGCTGCCAGCTGAAGATGTTACCTTGATCATAGCAGTCGACTGGCTTCTGTAAGTTTAGTAACTCGAGCATTTAAGTAATGTACTGTAATAACCTATTTTCTAAATGGTGAATGAATGTCTGTAACCAGGAGATAGGATAAGAAATTGATGCAGTGGCTTGGGAGGACTGTCAGAGGCAGGCATGGATGACCATAGCACCAGACTGGTTCAGTTTATTATTGAAAGAAATACCAACTGAGCCTTGAGGGATGAAGCCAGAGGAATCACATTAGCTGCCTATACACATGCTCAGGGGTGGGGGATCTTTTTAATTAGAGCAGTTCCCAGAGAGGCGCTCCAATTAAAATGCTGCAGCATCATATGTATTAAGACCCCGTGCATTTAAAAATGGCTTCTGGACACTAACTAAAACTTGTTGATTGAGCTTTAGTTAAAAAAAAAAAAATGCCCCCATGGCCATTTTGAAATACAGAGGGGCTTAATACACATGATGCTGCAGCGGTGCTACAGCATGCTACTTAGAATGCGCCAGAGCATGTGTATAGACAGTCACTATCCAGGAAGAGAGTGAGTAGCCTTAGATTCACGGGTGATAGTGACCTATCAGCACTGACCAAGTCATTTTTAAAACACAAGTGTTAAAGTACTAGAAAAATAGTACCTCAGAGAGGTTTAAACTCACCCCATAAATTATTCCACCTTAGGGTTGTTAGGCAGCTTGCTTGCAGTAAAGAAATGCAAGCCACAAATAGAACATTTTAGCAGAGCACTAGAAAACAAATAGTTTAAAAGAAAATCGCTGAGATGGGTTCAGTAAGTTTTAACCAGAGACAGCTCTGGGTAGATACTCAAAGCACGATCACAAGGGCTCTGCCATCACAGCTGCACTCCTTACCAGTTCCTCAATTTACAAGAGCCACACAGGAACCTCACCCAACAGATCATCCAGTATATGCCACAACAAACATGCCATTTTTCCTGATTACCCCTTCCAGCTCCTCCACACCTTCCCAGTCCTGTTAAGCAGTTCTTTCAGGGCTGATGCTGCGATCTCTGGGTGTCTGGGACATCATCTTTAAGAGCCGACTTACTCCAGCAAAAGTGCCTCAAAAGATTTAGCTTCGCTTACTTAGATATGTTTTGGGCTCCCCTTATTGCTTCAGGTGCCAAGCAGAACAAGGAAGTAGAGAATAAACAACCATGGCACCAGGGAAACTCCAAGAGGTGGGAGATAAGGGACTGCAGCGCAGGCAAGAAACCCCTCAGTTTGGTGTGGACCTACAGTGTCAGGTGGAGCAGATCATTCTGTCTGTACTCCAGGTTTTCTATTTCTGATGCGAGACGAGTAGCGTTGCCTACCTGTATAAAAGGTTTTAAGACACGCAGGTGAAATCTTCTGAGAATTACAGTCTCAAAAAACAAAACAGAAATGTTCAGTAGAAAAAACTTTGATCTGAGCCACCTCATTTTGTGCAGACGCTTGCTCTTCCTGTGTGTCAGAGTTTCTCATCTGATGGTTGTCAGATTTACAAACAGGATGGACAACACAGTCAGATAGAATGTCTCCAGAGTCCTGTTAAATGTCAACTTCCCTAACATGGCCCTATGCTCTTCTGAAGTTGTAGATGTACACCTTGCTGGGGTCGTTTGACCCCAGTACTCTTTCCTGCCAAGGTGGGGGGGTCGGACTAGATGATCTGCTCAGGTCCCTTCTGACCCTAGAAACTATGAAGTTCTGCATGAACATCCACAAAGTGGGTTAATAAATGGAGAGCAGTGGAACACTCTCACTAAGATGCTGTCTAGATGTGGAAAGTTTATGAATGCTACCTGTGTAATCATGGCCTGTGCCGCCTTGTTTTCTGGGAGCAGTGAACACTGCAGACTAGAACAAGAAATCTGACTGTGGCTAGTCCTACGAATCCCCATCTGAGGCCTGCTTATCATCAGGGATCCTAGTTTTCACTATAAAAATAAATCTCAAATTTTCTGATTAAAAAAATAAACACAAAATCCAAATTTTTCCATGATTTAAAAAAAAATTGTGTATATATATATATTTTGAGGAGCTGGCCTCAAATGGGGATTCATTATATATATATTAGTGGTGTTTTGTTTTAATCACAGAAAAACATGGATTTTAGGGGTTTTTTTATTAAAACATTTGGGATTAATGAATATAAAATAAATTGCTCAGCCATAGGATAGTACTTGTCCTGGACAGTACTATCCTACAGTAGAATTAATTTACTGCACCCTAATATGTGCACACATGTAGACAGTGACACTTTACTATTGAGCTAATTAGTCAACTGCAGTAAAGTGTGTGTGTGTGTGTGTGTGTGTGTAGATGCACCCACTGAATCAGAAGTGGAAAATAAAGAACAGACGAGGGAAGCTGTGGCTTTTTTTCCCTCTTACCTGATGACTCCTGGTCACTCCTGCATCCTCCCTCCTGGAGGATTCCAAAGACTTCTAAAGATTGGCAGGTCAGAGAGGATGCCTTTGTATCCAGATTCAGGTAAAAAGGAGATCCACAAACTCTGAAGTTCTACAACGGGCCCTTATTCACCAAAATCTTCGCGATAGAAGTCTATGCGAGTAGGAGGGGGACTAAGAGGCTTTGGACTCGCTGGCTGGCACTTAGAGCAGGAGGTTCAATAGTCTTTGATGACCCTTTAGATCCCAACCAAAAGAATCAGGCTAGTACCCACTCCTGAGTTTTCTGTCTCCTCAGGTGCCTTGATCGTGGTATATCATGGGCCAATTTTAAATCAGATTCCACTACCCCTTAGGAACAAAGAGCTAAGTCTGACAAGCTCCTTTCACCTGGTCCGTGGTGACCCTCATGAGAAGATCTCCCTCTAGCTTCAAATGGAGGAACTGGGAATTCTGTACCCAATCTATTATTACCCCACTTGCTTATACAGTGGACTAAACACAGGGTCCTCTTTGAACTCTGGACAAAATATTTTGAGACTCCAGATCTGTTATTATGGGTAAAGAGAGGTCCTCCAGCCATTAGGTGGTTCCATGTCACTTTGGACCCTAGTGCCTTTTCCTGACCTTTGTGCCAAATTTTCCTCGAGCCCTTTGCATCTTCCTCATGACATGATAATGACTTCAGTGTAACTCCAACCCATCCCCAAATAATTCAGGGTTCCAAAAAGGGAAGATTTTCTCCAGCCTTTCCTCTCAGAGGGTCCTGTAGGTCATCCTACACCCTTCTCCCAGCATGCTTCAGGAGGAGGCAGAAAGGGCCCCAGTCCCAGCCCAAGACCACCAGGGGGTGACACTAAAAGACTGTAGCTTCTAACTCTCCTGTCTTTCCCCTAACAGTCAGAATGACCCTAGTCACTGAGTAAGGCTGACCATCCACATGTATGCAGCCCACATACACTGTCTGGCCTTCTTGTAGAAGTTCAGATAAGCTGTTCAATAAGCTGTTCTCTTACAAGAGTCTGTCCAGACCTTGAATCTACCAACCCCAGAACTGGGATTCCCTCTGCTACTACACACTACATACTGTACACATATCCATGTAGATCTACACATTTTCCTCCTATCTGAGGCACAGCAGAAGGAAAATCACATTGCCTACCCACCCCACAGTGAAACGAATTAGGTGCTCCTCTGTCAGCATCTCCTCTCTTGGGGTGGGGGCCTCTGTCCCTACTTCCCAACCTCCAGAAGGAGGAAACAGTCCAACCTGGCCCCATGCTTATCCCAGTCCAACACTGGGGTCTCGAGTTCCCTAGTGTTTCACAGTCCCTGTTAATTTTCATGTAATTTTTATATTGCCTTCTTTAAGGCAGCCACCCAATAGTGGCATACCTGTTCCCAGGGTTCTTATAGTAGGATCCAGCAAAGCTGCTTCAAGGATACTATTTCAAGTATTTCCTCAGAGATCAGACCTCTGTTTTAACCACTGAGAGTAGTAGGCATCCCAGAGTCACTGGGCTACTGTCCTGTGACAAGATTCAGGGCCAAAGACTTTCTGCAGTCAGCAGTAGGCCTCTTCACTTAAGCCTAGCCAGTCTCAAACGGCAAACAGAAGACTATATAGTCATTGGCCCCACACACACCTAATGCTTGGTAAATGCCTCTTAATTAGCAGTGAGCTAGGGAGCCAGCCCTATCTATAATTAGCATGTGGCCAATTATACACCTCAGCTAGCCTCCCGGAGTTTTCGTAAAATGCTTCTCGGTCATCTGCAGGCCCCATTTTATTGAGGACTCCATCATCTCTTGTAGACAAAACCCTGTACCTGCCTTGTTCTTCTCAGTCCAGAAGTACAAGCAGAATTGCTGCTGATCTTGAAAATCTTACTGCTGAGCCAGGAAGCACTGAGGCTGCTGTTCCAGGCAACCAATCTATGTTTCCAGGTCTACGCCTCTAGTAGCTATTGCATCTCCTGCCCACAATCTCCAGCGCTTGTGAGCTGGTCATGCCTTCTGCAATCTGCATTATTAAAAGTCAAAGCAGTAACATAGCTAGGGGATGGAGGAAAGGGGGAGGGAGGGAGACATGAGTGGGGCACCAGCCTCAAATGCTGACTTAGAGGATGTGCCAGTATGACCCCTTTCCCCAGGAGTCTACTGAGGCAGGAGCAGCCCTGTGCTGCACAGCCATAGGAGCCAGACAGGCACTACAGGGCATGGGGCTGTGCATCTGAGGAAGGGAGGTAGAATGACCCCCTCTGCCTGGGGAAGAAAACAGGGTACTAAGAGTGGCCCCCAGAAAGCCCAGAGTGCTGCCTGTCTACCAGCAGCAGCAGCCCAAGCTCATATTGCTTCAGCAGTTACTGCCAGCGTGAGAAGAGCCAGGCAGGTAAGACTCCCTGCTCCTCTCCCACATCCAACCCCTAATTTCCACTGGTTGACATAATTCCCCACTGCCTCTACCCCAGGCATAGAAAGAGCTTGTTACACCCTTGAGTCACAGCCACACCTCTTCCAGGGTTCAAACAACAGGTCTTCAACACAAAACATTCAGGCCACTCTGCCTACTGCATTCAACAAAGGAAATCCAAAGAAAATACCTAGCC